TTGTTCAGATTTTCATAACAGCTCTATTTTTATTTCGATTTACTGTACAATACACTAAATAAATCATATAATATTTTAATATTATATTATATCTGCTTTTTTATTGCACTCATATTGTAGCAAACTGAAATGTGCAAACATACCCTTCTACTGACATCAACCATGTTCCAAGTGATCTGAAAGTTTTTGAGATCAGCGTAACTTAGCAACGCATCTTCATCATTTGAGTAAAACAATGAAAAGTTTTCCATGATAATACCTGCAGAAAAGAAATGTGTTATCACTAATGTATTCTATTTACAATGCATAAAAACAGGATAGACACAATAACATCTATTCAATCTATACAATGTACAACATTATATTGACATTTAAAAGATACTCACCTACTAATAAATTTAGTACAATATACGCAATAATGATGTAAAATGAACAGAAATATAATAATGCTGCTCCAAAATTACCACAATCACTCTCCCAATAATTTGGACCCATTGTACAATATGGTGGCTGAATCTGAAACCAAAAAAAAACAATGTATGGTAATGTATGGTGTGTAAATGACAAAGAAATATGTGGTTACTACAGCCAATGGCAGGATCTACTCTTGATAAATGTTTTATAAATATCCATGAAACAAATTCATGCATTCATGGAACCCAGATAAAATACAGAAGCCTATACTTATTGCATTGTATCATACATAACCATATAATACTGGGAAGACACTCACCATACAGTCATGCATTATTTTATTCCAGTCTTCACCTGTAATGCATCTCATCAGTACAGCGATTGCCAATGGTGCTGTCTTGAAATTAGCATGCCTACAAAATTAGTCTCAGAGTTAAATTATCACAATGTTTGTCTGTTTTTAATGTTTTTGTGCCAGGTGACATTTAATGTCTCTGTTCTCTCTATCGACATGCTTGCTACAGAAGCCATATTCATGTTTATGACAACATATCAGCACTGTGCAACCATCTCTCTATCAAATTGCAATTTAATTTATTTTTAATGCGTTATAACCAGGTGTCAAACACAAGTTCCTGTATACCTTAACCAAGATGCCCCCGAAAGCGGTCCTACTACTTAACGCACGGACACGTGAGGGAGTGTCCGGGCACGCGCGGAAGCGAACAGGGGGGAATACCTAACGCGCGGCGCAGCGGCAGCAATCCTTGTACTGTATAATATTCGTTTATGCTCAAAATTTGAAACAGAGTGGCAAATTCGAGCAGCTATCAACACTTTTTATGATCGACGCCCGGGCATTCCAGCGAGTCGAGTCCGCAATAGGACAATACCATTCGATTCATGGAGGTGACAGACCTGCGAATGTGCCAACATTGTCGAAGGACAATGACAGGACAAGTTTGTGGAAGTGTGGCGAGACTCCCGTAGTATTGTTTAGTAAGATTCATTTAAAAAGGACCATGTAAGACGTCTGTTACGCAGAAATTATTCACCTCATGTCGTTTTCTCATTGTTATGTGTCCCCGTAAACACACCGTTGTATGCAGGTGACAATGCTACGTACACGTGCAATGAAATCGGTACCCTAAGAATATCGCAACGTCTTTGTGTTTCCTGTTGCAGTGCAAGTTTGTATACGGTAAATATCATGAACGGCACAGAGTTCGGTAAATCTTGTGTCCATACACAGTACAGAGGGGATATTTTTGTAGGCTGTGGTCCAATGTTTTTATACTTTGTAATTCAAACGAATAAAAACGTATATTCGTAGCCATGGACAAGATTTTAAAATGTAATCAACCGTTTTATTCATCCATGATTTGTACAAAGATGCCTTTTTTTATTTCCTGCATCCTGTGTACCAGTCACCCACCCCCTGTCCCCACTCTTACAGCATGCGGTAAATTTCTTATTGTACACGCAGTTTACGGTAAACCTGGTTTATACCTCTTGTCGAAAACACAGAGTTTGGTCAATCTCGTGCACAATATCGCGTACGGTATATTACGTTTCATCCACATATTTCAAGTGTTGACGCCGCGACACATATTCAGCTGTGATTGACACTCTATTGTACAACTACAACAAAGGGGGGAACATACACTGTCACTATTTGTTAGTAACCATGGTTCAACCCAAGCAAGGCACGTTTCTTTTAAATAAACATGACATACCAAATATGATTAACTTGTGTAAATTCAGAAAAAAATGTTGTCATTTGTTCTGGCTTGGAGCCTGATGGTAAGGGAAAACATTTACATAACCAGGGCGAGTTGCGTCTAGAGACAAAGCATTTGTTGTTTCTGTTTGGAGCTGTAACAGGTAACAAAAGGTCTTGAATAAATTAATGGCGTGATAAACTCCACCTTGTATTTCTATTTTATGGAACCTCTTGTAGTTTGTTTGTGCAGTGTATAGTTACAGTAGATTATTTACAAGCTGATCACGGACCAATTTGTAACGACCGGGCTCGTAACACGGACCACATGATCCCCGAGCAGGGTGTGAGTCCGGTATGTGAGCTACTATAAAATCGCGATGCGAAGGCTATGACCTCTATTCGCACACATGCTTCCGGTGTGCTAGTGTAACCTGCCGTTAACAATGAAACTGAATGACGTTCCCACTTATATTAAATATAGGTAGTAATAAAGATGACGCCTTGGAAGCGACACATCGAAAGGTCAAGTTCAGTTCATCGCCCGCTGTACGAATTCACGTTTGCGAATGAATGACCACTTGACGCGATGGAGAGATCCCAAACCCAGTTGGCGAGCTACATACCAGTAGTTTTCTGTATACACACCCCGTGATCGATCTTTTCCAAACCCGTGTGCTATCGGAGTTTTATTTAAAATCAGTGTATGACGTTGCTTTTAGTTTGAACAATTTAACTTGCCGACATGATAACGCCTTCGATTGAACTTGCCGACATGTTAATGTTTTTTTTTCAAAACTAATTAGTGTTATGCCATTGTATTCAGTGTGGACCATTGAACATACCGACATGATAATGCCATTCTTTGGAACTAATGGGAGGCATGCGCAATTGTACTTCCCCGTTAATATTTTAACTTGGAGTTCTGATACTGCATTATAGCGACAACGAAAAACACATTTATCATAGCATTGTCAATTTCGTTAGCCAGGATTTATTTTGTTTATAATCAAAATGTGCAAGTCACGCAGACTTTACCATCGACGTAGAATATAATTTTATTGCTGTCGTATCCTGTGTCTGTCTATTTACTATACATGTTTTAATTTTCGTTTTAGTTGACTTGTACTTTGAATAAAAATATTTTCCACAAGGGCGGGTGTCTGTCTATTTACTATACATGTTTTAATTTTCGTTTCAGTTGACTTGTTCTTCAGTAGCATATACAAGACTAATTTTGAATGAAACTATTTTATGTTATGCGTGTTTTAATTTTCGTTTTAGTTTACTTGTACTTATTTTTAATAAAAATATTTTTCTAAAAGGGCGGTTTGTTTACTATACATGTTTTACAGTGGGCGCAAACAAGATTCAAGTCTTACTGAACATTG